CACTTAAGCACATAAAACCACATGTGATGTGGGAAGCATTCTCAAAGAATCACAACTATTTTTGAAGCAGGTAACTGTTATTTCATCTTCAAGTAACTTTCCACATGATGCCCGCTACTGGTGACTAACAAGGGATTTCCCTTCTGCTTAGAGATGATTATATGATGAATTGAAAGACCAGCATATGAATACAGGCACCAGGTCTGGAGGATTCGATCAATAAATGGTTTCTCAGATGTGTGTCACAAAGACCACACAGCTGATTCATATTATTGCAGTCACTGACACTCATCAAACAGAAAGCAGAAGTTGCCTGGATTCTACTGACCTGAGATGTACATGACTATTTAATCCTCTGACTAATTCAGTAAAAAAGTTCTTAAAAAATTACAGATATGTAAGATACCATCTGAGAGGAAATTCAATTACACTTGATACTTTCTTCATAACTATCTAGCAGCCTTTCTGTACTCCTGCACAACACCTCCAGTATTGCTTCCTATAGCTGGGTATAGAAGCTATCATTAAAGATCTGGAAATCCAACAGTCTTAGGATTCGATTTCTCTTAAAGCAAAAGGTCTGCATTGTTACTTCAGCAACACTTGCACTTCATGATTCCCATGAAGCAGGAGAGAGAAGTCCTTGGAAGACCTTTCATTCAATAATGCACAAATTATATATCATCCTAAAATATAATTAACTGCTACTTTTGACATACTCTTGCACACACAAAGACAAGTGCTTTCAATTCAGCTAACCACAGCAGTCAGAAGTTGGTATTTAGGAACATTCAAATGAGGCCCCACTTCAAAGTATGTCTTTTCAAGTATTCGATATGAAAGACTAAAATGACAGTCATCTTAACTGCCATTACTATTCTTCTGGTGCCCTCCTGTACCTGGATAACATTGAAAAAAGTCCCTATATTTCATCTTTCTTCTTACTTCAGTGACCTCTGGCAATCTATCTTTGGAAAGAACAATTATTCAGATGTAAATCAGAAGCTAGTCACTACCTCTAGCACCTACTGAACTAGATTCATAAGCTTGATTTGGCTTTTATTACCAACAGCCAGCCATTAGTCCTCAGAATTCTTATTTCCCAGTACTAAAGGAAAAGAAAGTAGTGAGAGTACTCCTCTCAAAAACTGGGTCTCCAACAATATAAAAGAGTTCCCAGAGAACGAAGAAATAGATTGTCCAAGCTATTTATTCCACACATAAATTTCTGATTATTTGACAATTAAGGGCGATCAGTGCACAGCTTACTACAACTACCAACTTCAGGGGGCATTTGTAGCAGCTCATTTTTTCCTTCTGAATAATGGATTTCATAAAACATAAAGCAAGAAGGATGAAAAGCTTAAAAATACCTTGCATACTGTATCACATATATTACCAAAGGAAAGTATGTTATAAAAAGTAAGGGATTTATAAAAAGCTCCACAATTCATTATCTAACTAAAAGCAGACAAAGAAAGTTTGGCAAGTATCTGCCTACATGTGACTGCAGTTCATGAGAAACCTTTAAATCACGTAACGGCGACCTGCATGAATGCCCCTCACAGTAAATGCTCCCTGAACCTCCCATGTTTCAATTTGTGCCCATTGCCTCTGGGACTACCTTCATCTTAACACTCCCACCCCCCCTTTAGGTATTTATCCCATTGATGAGATCACCCCCGGAGCCTTCTCTTCTCCAGGCTGAACAATCTTAGTTCACTCAACTTTCCCCACAGTACAGATGCTCCAGTCTATTCATCACCTCCATGGCCCTTCACTCGTCTACCTTCAGTAGCTCCATTTCTCTCCTGTCCTGGGGAGCCCAGAACTAGGCACAGTAGTCCCAAGTGTGGCCTCACCAGTGTTGAATGGAGAGGAAAGATCACCTCCTTCAACCTGCTGGTGACACTTGTCCCATTGCAGCCCAGGACACCATTAATATCCTTTGCTGCAAGGGCACAGTGCTGGCTCATGTTCAACCTAGTGTCCACCAGGACCTGCAGGACCATTTCTGCAAAGCTGCTTTCCAGATTGTTAGCTCCCAGCATGTATTGGTTGTTCATCCTCAGGTGCAGGACTTTGCACTTTACTTTGTTGAACTTAACGAGGTTCCTGTCAGCCTATTTCTCCAGCTCACTGAGTCCTTCAAATGATGCACAACCCTCTGGTGCATCAGCCACAACTTTCAATTCTCTATCATCAGCAAATTTGCTGAGACACCACCATCTACATTATTAATGATGTTAAACAGGACTGGAACCAGTACTAGCCCCTGAGATAGATATTGCTGGCTAGGGACTTCCAAGTAGATTTCATGCTGCTAATTATTTTCAAAAAATAAAAGGGCATAAACTATGCACTTTGCATGTCAAGTAGAGGCAGCCCCTGGGCAATTACAGTAACTGACATATTCTTTATAGTAGGAACATTTTATTCACAAAATTACACTTTCACCTAAGTTCAGTTATGTCATAGAATATCAGAAAAATAACTGCAACACAATACCATATCGTGGTTTCATCTTTTGTGATCTTTTCCTTAAGAACAACCGTAGCATTAAGACGTCATATGAGATTTGCAATGTCAGTCGTGTTTCAGGCTTTCCCTTGCCTCGTAAAACCTGTTACCAAGTCAGTGACTAAAACAGTTCACTTGCATTTTCAGTTGCAAGCACCCTCATGAAAAAAAAAGGCCTTTCTGTAGGGAAAAAAAAAAAAAAATATAAAAGAAACCAAATACTTCAACAAGCACTTTCATCCATTCTGTAACAGAATGAAAACCAACCAGCGTTATGTAGCAACATAAAAAATGGCAGGGACTGTCAAACCTTCCTATATGAACTTGAAGGCAAACAAGATAGGTCAAACCATTTTTATTCAAGGCAAGTTATTAAACACTACAAAGCTTTACCAAACATTACTGCAACAAGAATGAAAATTGGTTATTCAAAGTAACTTAAATATTTACTTAGGTTTTTAAAATACTTTGATCTGCAAAAACATGACCACATTTTTAAATCTGAATGGTCTACATGTGCATTTGGATGCACACAATTCTTTTCCATATATTTGTTAGTTGCAACTGTGAAAGGTTTTTAGCTACCCTCCAATTCCACCACTTTGGATAAGGAGATTAATAATAGACTGTTACTGTTGACAGATTTATTTGAACATTACCATCTTTGCCTTAATATTTTCAAAGTTCAGACAGACAATTGGTTAAAAGAAAGAGCTACATTAAAAAAATATTTTTAGCACTTGTGAAGAAATTCTGCTTTAAATGAAAGTGATTGCTGCACACTGTACAGTTAAGTGCAAGATATTAGTAAAGTTTATCTTCCCTTTATTATGACAGGGTTTTCTTAAGGCATGTCCCTCAATCCCACTAATTTCAGTTTCCTCCAGTGTTCACTCACTCTTATGAATGACCTGGAAGAAATATGCTTGAATTAATAAATAAATACCTAACGCAGGAATATTATGTTCTTAATTTTAAGATTTTCTATTTGGTATGTTATTATGGAGAGGTAATAGGGCAGTATGTTTCATATTCTTGATAATAGGAACACAGTCTGAGAAATTAATGGGAATGAAAGAGAGGTACTCTAATCAAGCCCTTTAGCTAAAGTCTTCTGTAGCCAACTCTGCTATGATTCTCTTCTTGTACTATATAAAGTAGTTTGGATATTTCTTCAGTGAAACACTTCAGTTTGATAAGCAGATTTTTCAGTTTCTTCATATTTACTAGCGTTTCTTTTTGTAGTCTTACTCTGCCCTCAGTAAAACAATAATGAAGTAAACCCTACTTTCTGTGCAAATTCAGAAAAGCTTTGGATAGAAGAAAACTGAAATTATTTCTTACATTTCCTATGCTCACTAAGTACATTTAAGAACTTATTACACACACAAATAGCACAGCACATATTCAAGCACTGAATTCACAAAACAAAAGGACAGAATCACATTAAGATCATCTAGTTCCAATCCCCTGCCATGGACAGGGATGCCACACACTAGATAATGTCGCCCAAGGCTCTGTCCAGCCCAGCCTCAAACACTGCCAGGGATGAAGCATTTGCCACTTCTTTGGGCAACCCATTCCAGTGCTTCACCACCCTAACAGGAAAGAATTTCCTCCTTATATCCAATCTAAACTTCCCTGTTTAAGTTTAAACCCATTACCCCTGGTCCTATTGCTACAGTCTGTGACGAAGTCCCTCTCCCCCATCCTTGTAGGCACCCTTCAGATACTGGAAGGCTGCTATGAGGTCTCCACACAGCCTTTTCTCCAGGCTAAATAGCCACAGCTTTCTCCGCCTGTCTTCATATGGGAGGTGCTCCAGTCCCCTGATCATCCTCTTGGCCCTCCTCTGGAACTGTTCCAACAGCTCCATGTCTTTCTTATGTTGAGGACACCAGAACTACACATAGTGGGGTCTCACAAGAGCTGAGTAGAGGGGAAGGATCACCTCCTTCGACCTGCTGATCATGCTCCTTTTGATACAGGCCAGGATACGGTTGGCTTTCTGGGCTGCAAGTGCACACTGAAGGCAGCTGATGTTCAGTTTCTTATCCACCAACACCCCTAAGTCCTTCTCCGGAGGTCTGCTCAGAATCTCTTCTCCTCCCAGCCTGTAGCTGTGCCTGAGATTGCCTCGACCCAAGTGTAGGACCTTGTGCTTGGCTTGGTTGAACTTCATGAGGTTGCCACTGGCCACCTTTCAAGCTTGTCAAAGTCCCTCTGGATGGCATCCCCTTCCCTCCAGCATTATCAAATGAACCATACAGTTTAGTCACATCAGTGACAAAGATGTTTAACAACATCAGTCCCAACACCAGCCCCTGAGGGACACCACTCATTACCCGTCTCCAGCTGGATATTGAGCTGTTGATCGCACCTCTCTGTGTGCACCCATCCAGCCAATTCCTTATCCACTGGATGGTCTATCCATCAAATTGATGTCTCTCCAACTTAAGAGAAAAGGATGTTGTGCGGGACAGCATCGAACGCTTTGCACAAGTGCAGGTAGATTACATCAACTGCTTTGCCCCTATCCATCAGTTCTGTAGCCCCATCATAGAATCATAGAATAGTTAGGGTTGGAAAGGACCTTAAGATCATCGAGTTCCAACCCCCCTGCCATGGGCAGGGACACCTCACTCTAAACCATATCACCCAAGGCCTCATCATAGAAGGCCAACAAATTGGTGATGAATGATTTGCCCTTTATGAAGCCATGCTGGCTGTCACCAACTATCCTCTTATTTTACATGTACTTTAGCACAGTTTCCAGGAGAATCTACTCCATGATCCTGCCAGGCACAGAGATGAGACTGGCTGGTCTGTAGTTCCTTGGATCTTCCATTTTCCCTTTCTTGAATATGGGGGTTATATTTCCCTTTTTCCAGTCACTGGGAACTTTATCTGACTGCCATGTTTTTTTCAAATATGATGGACAGTGGCTTAGCAACTTCATTTGCCAGCTTCTTGAGGACCCACGGATGGGTTTCAGCAGGTCTCATGGATGTGTGCACATTAAGGTTCCTAAGATGATCTCAGACCTGATCCTCTCCCACAGTGGGCCTAAGGTCTTCATTCTCACCGTCCCTGCATCTATCTCCCAAGGTTTGAGCGGCGTGGCTAGAGCACTTGCCAGAGAAAACTGAGGCAGAGAAGTCATTGAGAACCACAGCCTTCTCCAAATCCAACGTAGCCAGTGTTCCAGTTTCCTTCTGGAGAAGGCCCTCATTATCCCTAGTCTGCCAAGGAGAAACCATTTCAGTCACAGTTTTACATTCTACTTCTATGTAAGTTGTTTATTTCTTAGAGAGTACACTAAGTAAAATTTGAACAACAGCACAATCATGATCTCTAAAAGCAGTACATACCTAGGCAAAAGCTATGTTCAATACAAGAGTTCAACATGCTATTCTGAAGTCATAGTCTAATGCTGGGCCCAAGCAATGAGCATAGGATTTCTTCGCTACCATGCCAGGAGCTGCTGCCTTTTGAATACTGATTTGTTCTAGGAACTGAGCTAGAGACTTGAAGCAAGGAAAGCAAAAGCTAACAAACTATTCCTCCTCATTCAGAGGCTGAAACACAATTTCAAACCAGCACATGGCAAGGAAAGGGTAGAGTTTCACAGTGCAGCAAACATGTACAATGTAGCTCCCTAGACAAGGAACAGAACCCTTGGATAGGAAGTCATACTGGAGGCGGGTTTTAACAATGTGCAAACTGGCTACGTTCATATCAAGAAACTATGTGAGTTAGCAGCACCCTTCTTTTGGTACAGCTTCTTCTTGTGTGAAGAAAATTAAAGAGCCACATCCAGAGTGCAGCCTCTTTTCCTCATAGAACAGCATTTGGAATTATTACCAGAAGGAAAACTTAACTACAGCTGGGGCTATGTTAATCTTTTTCAAGGCTGTACAGCAGTGCCAGAGATCAAAGCTATGAATTGGCAATGCAAAGCCACCTCCTTCCCTAATTTTCAGCTCTATAAGGAACGACTATCGTCTCATCCTAATACTCCAGTCCTCCGTTTCTCATCATTTTTTATAACAGTTTTTAGAAAGTTACCATTATGCGGGAAAAAAATGTATTAACAACTGTGGAAGCAATGCTGTCATATAAATAGCTAATAAACATCTTGGTAGAGGTTTTATGTTGCATTCATTGCTTCTATAATGGTACAGAGCTTAGTATTGTGTTTTTTAATTAAAAACAATCCAATGCAATTTGACAAAGCCCATAATTTCAGCTCTGCAAAGACAGTACTGTCTATTTAGGAAACAGACAATACTTAGTCAAAGGGTATCTTAAATTAATTCAATGTTAAGAGAAGCAGTAAATCTACAACTGCAAAACAGCCAAGAGCTCAGTAAGCACTCAGAATGCTAGGAGTCTTGGACTGTGTTAGCTACGCTCTACACTTAGCAGGCAACATAACACATCAAGAGAAACACTGAAAAACCTCCCTTTCACAGTGTCAGCAAGGTAGGGCAACCAGGATGCCTAAGAATGGCTGCTAAGCATGGCACTGCTATCTGTATTTCCTTTCTCAGATTTGATAACTATCTGTGATATTCCATCCAGCTTCCCAGTGAATGTTTTTAGAAGTTACAGCCTGTATCTGCTCTTCCCTGAGAGAACACCACAATTCTTCCCACTGGATTTCCAAACTAGAGCACTCCATCACTGCTGCCCAGATTTACCTCCAGCACACACAGGAAGATTTGGTCAATGTTACATAAGCAGTCACTATTTAGAGTAGTAATCAGGTCTGGAGTGTTCATTACTAAATCAGGATTTTTAGTGTTAACTAAAGGTCCACAGAAGCCCCAGGAACTCAAATAGTAAAATAAGGCACTGCTCTGACCTCATCAATGATCAATTCTTGCCTGTTTTTGAGACTTTACGATCAGAAGGTGGGCTGGTAGTTAGCAGACCAGGAATCAAATGAGACTTATATAATCCTTATCTCACTCCCAGCACCTCTTGAGATCAAGTTTTGACAGCCTGTATTCACAACCAAAATGCAGCACATAATGTAGCACAGCCTAAGAATTTCCAAGGATGTGCGATCTTATATAGTCAAAAAAAGAACCTTTTGGAGAGGACACTGTTCTCCCGAATGAATAAGAGCACTCTCTTAGGTAAATAAAAAGTTTGGTGTTGACTGACAGAAACCACAATGACAGAAAATTGCTAAAGAAGAAGAAAAAATAAATTTGTAAATTGAAAATTGCATCTGCTTTCGAAAAAATAAAGGGCACACAATTAGAAATAAATGCAAGTAACTGACCACAAGGTGCTTTCATTCAAGATGCTCTCACTCAAACTGGACTATGTCAAAACTAATCACATCTGTGAAAATTATGTCTAAACAAAATTACTAGATATCACTACTTATTAAAGTTGTATCAGAACTTATGACTCAAAACCCAATCAGATGTCTTAAACAAAGAAATCTTCACTTTTTTTTCCCCATTTGTGGGATTCAGGTACTTGCGCTATTTTCTTTGGAACAGCTTTGCTAACTAATGGTGTTTCTCACATATTAGCGATTGCAGCCCAAAATCACTCTGAGTAATTACAAGTTTTTGTGGTTTTTGCCAAGCTCACATTCTTTCTGCAGCTTCACTTTTTCTTTCTGTTAAACAAGTTTTTTTTCTACAGGAAAGTGGTTACTGCATTTCACTCTATACCTGGCCTCAGTTTGTTTTCCAACTGAAATCCCAACCGATTACATGTATACAATAGCAGTATCACAGCCCAGACCCCACAGCCAGTATTAAGCACATGGACTTAATGCGAGTCATACCATAAAATACATGCCGAAGATCTAACCCACGATGATGGCTCCTCCACCACACCCTCAACCACCAAAAATAAGGTTTCTGGTAGTCAGTAACACGCGATTTTGTTCAGTCAAGACTGTTTTGCTGTGCATTGATGCAAGATGTCTATTACTGCTTTTCTCTCCCAGTTTTTCAGGGGGTAAAGCCAATTCTTCATCAGAGATGAAGAACCTCAAGCAGAATATAGTAATGGACAAATAGTCTTATAATTCCTACTACTGAAAAAAAACCAAACCCTACAACAACAAAAAACAAACACCACAACCCCCCCAATTTTGGTATAATTTCAGCAAAAGCAACCACTGCTAAAAATAGAGGCTGTTTTGATTTTTCCCGCCCTCAACTTAAAGCTCTAAGTACTGCAACCAATGGCTCAATACCAATTTTTTCAGCTCTTTTTTAAGTGCTTATTTTTATACCAAGTGATATTTACTGCAGTCTTAATACTTCACCCAAATTTAGCAAGAAGTTATAAATTAATCCCATAAAAACAAGTGCAGTATGCTTTTAATTTCCAGAAAATTCTCTCCTGTAGCTGTATTCCAAAATGATCCTACAGTTTTTTATAAAACCACTGGTTTTTAAATTCAAAGGATTTTAAATATACTGAAATTTACAGGAACTAAAGAAAGCCAAAATATGCCAGTTCTAAGACGGTAAGTTTATCAAGTTGTCCAAGATGTAACTAACCTTTTGAGTATTTTCTTTAGAAAGATAACTTAGTGGTCTTTTTGAAAATACTGTTAAAAATAATCATCTCCTTACTAGGTCACACATCTGAATACAAATGCAATTATCAAAACATGACCTATTTCCGAAAAGCAAAAAGTAGAACAGATCTTAAATGGGATTACAGCATTAAACTTGGATAGAAAAAGAATAAAGTGGGAGACTGCAAATACTGTTCACTGGCCATCTAGCATTCTGTAGTGGCAACTAATAATTTGAAAATTGTTTCCCCTCTTTAACCATCCCACCACATTCTGGTTGTTACTATTTTAAATATACAGATTCATTGCAGTAATCAAACACAAATACAGTATTGTTAGTTCTACAAAAATTACATTCTGTAATACCAGGTCACTTTTTCAGAAGAAAAAAAGAATTGAGAACCTCTGATTCGCTATAAAATTAATTTTCACTTCTATCCATAAGGGCGTCACACAGCGTGACATCTTGCACATTCACCTAATTTATAAAATCCACTTTTTTTATATTCTCTACTAGAGCCACATTTTAAATTGCTCTGCAAAGGCCCTTCATTAAAATGTTAGAACCATCCTACAAATACATCTACTGTTTGCATGTACTCAAACCCAACAATATTTCAAAAATGTATGCTGTTGGCATATACCATGTGACTGAAAAATAAGAGCTACTTCTATAGTATGTATGTCCAATCCTATATGATATGAAAATTGACCAATGACATTACAAGTGATATCTCAATGTGATTCTCTAATGCTGCAAAAAAGCCTTTCAAAAATGAATTGGGAGATGCTCAAATATCATGTGACCATTAAAGAATCTTCTAGTGACCGTTCTGTTTAGTGTTTTAAAGCAGAAATGGCAAAATGGCAGGACAGAGGGAATAAGGAAGGATGGATGGAGAAGGGGGAGAAAAAGGAGAAGCGGAAGGGGAGAAAGGCACTCCACCTAAGAAAAAGCTTTGTTACAATACTGTTCAAGTGCTATGTTCAAATTCTGTTTCTTTTCCAACTTGCAGCACATGTAATTGCTGTTTTACATTCCCTCACAAACCCTCCTACCTAGGTACTTCAGTGACCTAGATTCTCAAATATTAATTCCACTTACAGTTTCATGCTTCTTTCTTAAAAAAGAGACTAGAGATCAATGAATGGAAGTATTCACACTGGTTTCCTAAAGCTCTAAGTAATTCACTGTTAGCATAATGACATACTGCAAACCTTTTAGATAACACTAAAAGTTTGCTCACATATTCAGTAGTTAAATATTCTCACAGGAACCTTAATGAAGTTGAAGATAATCAAACATTTGTCTTAAAGACTTTTCAATTCTGAAGCAAAACAAAGCATCAAATCACTGTGTAACTTTTCCAGTCATTTAGCACAGAATGATGAATCCAAATGCTTGTTTTGACTTTAAAAATTTTTGCATGTTAAAAAAATCAAAAATAGCTGATTTTTTTTAATATGTATTTCCTGATCATATAAAAATCTTAAAATACATTGCCCCTTCTTAAACATTTATAGCAGCTCAGAAAGTATTTTCAGTAACTTCAGTCCAAAACAGACTAAAAATATATTACTTAGAACTAAGGAAGCCTCCAAAAAATCTTATGAAGTAACTAACTAGAAAAACTTGTTGCCTCTTGCTCAGCATTTCAATAAAGGGCAAACACCAGCATGAAATACAGTATCAGCTGCAGGAAGCCAATTACGTATTCACTTGCTGATACTTCATAATTTTATGTATTTATTTAAAAAGCACTGAAGATCTGTTTGGCCTCAGAAACAACACATTAATTTAAGGACACAAGTTATTTCCATTAAGTACTTAATCGAAGATTTGTTCAGTTATCTGTCATTTACCTGCAAAATCACATTGGTTTCCATTCACAACATTCTGCCAAACCAAGATCTGACACTGTTATCAAGGAAATGCACCTAAAAACATTCCCTAAGAAATCGTTTTTTACTCAATTTTGAGCCAGAATGTCAAGTGACAAAATAAATTGAATGTATACATCAATTGTATAAAATTAATTGCCTCAAACTTGGCTCACTTGACCTCTTTTGACAAATTCACAATGGCCTGTTGAAAAAACAATTATACTAAAGCTAATCAGCAGGGATGTAGAAACATAATGATGTGATGGTGAACTCATAATGTAAAATTTACAAAGAAATTACTATTCTTAAAAACTGCTACAACACAATTCAAATCCAAAACTATTAACAGGTTTTACTATACCAGAACAAGTGCATATTAAACAGAATTTTAGAAGGCTTCAGTAGCTAATTTTGTATCAACATCTGATGTTTAACATGTTTCTAAAATATACTGAAGACTGTATTAATTATACCAACCACAAGAATGCAGTAGTAAAAATTAAATTCTAAAGTATTTGGATGTCACTGAACAAATCCATCCTTTATGAAAAGAACAGGGCATATCACCACTCTTTCAGCTGAAACTTAGCCTTTTCTAGCATTCTGAAAAGAAGTCCAAACTCAATTAGGAACATTTTAAAAGAAGTAATGTACCATGATTTGTATTTATCAATATAAACAGTTGTGAATACCTGTCAAGAATCAACCAAGCAAGCTTATGTCATTCCTCTGATCTAGCCCTTCTCAGGTTACAGCTGAAATAACACTGTTCAAGGGAGATGTTACATACCCATTTCATTGATAGTTGCTCTTGTTTTTGAGACAAAAGAGCTAACTTCACTTGAGTGCATTTTTGCTCTTTCTTTAAGGTCAGCACCTGAAAGCGACATTTCACATACATGTTAGCAAGTTGTAAACGGTACCATAAATACATTTTCACAAGTAAAATATTCCTGTATGCCCCCCAAAATTAAGTCTACTTTGAGAAAAGAACAGTTCAAATTGGTCACATTTATTTCCCACAGATTTCAAGGAAAACATGGACTATTTATCAAGGAAAAACAGAACCCAAAAATATCAAATTACCCACCACCAATTTTCACTAAGTATATTCTTTCCAGTGACATCTCCTCTTACAGTAGAATAGTTCATGGATAATAGCATTTATACTTTTATTTTCTCAACTGTGTCACAAAGTCTGATAAATCTGGGGCTTTATATATTGTGCTCTTATTATTTTATTAGTAGATAACTAAATAGCTAGGGTTCATATTTTTACATTAACAAACTACATTTATCTAAATAAAAAAAAGAATCTACAGTGGACCTACTACCATTTTTCAACCTACTTTACTGAAATGAATTTTTGAAAAAGTTACGTATTTTTTGCTCTTAGAAAAAGTAATTTTTAATCTATTTCTTCATGACTATATGAAAATAACTCTTTTTAAAAAGCACACGGTAAGTAAAGATGGTTACAAAAGTGTTTTTAAAAATTCACTGATACATAAAAACAACATTTTATCTCATGAATGCGTAAAGAAAAAGAGAATCAGATAGGAATAATAAAATAGCTAAATGCAGAGTAAGATAGGCAGCCCATCTTCCTTACAGATGAAGAATATATGAAAAATTCTAAATTTGCATATACACATTCATCCTCCAAAGAAGTACAACATTCCCTCAGCAACTTAGCACATATTTTTTCCATGTGGCAAAAATGAACATATAATCTCTTGGCATATGTCTGAAAAGGCTAAACATGGTATACAACCAATGCAAAAAAACAGCTTTATGTTTCTCTACCCTGAGAATCAAACTATTACCCATTCAGGAAAAAGCATCATTAATTTCATAACTCAGTTTTAAATTAAGCAGTCATATGCTTCCCCTTTAACATTTCTGGACTTAACTCATGCAAGACCCTCTTAACCCTCTTCATCACACATTTAGATATACTTCTATTGACAGCATTATTGAAATTCAGAACTCTCGTCTAGCTCTGAGAAAATCAGTATCTCAAACTGACATTTTCTGACAGACATACAGCTACTGAATTAAGGTAACATGCACAATAAAGCTACTCTACATCTCTTCTCTTTCACTATAGCCAAGCTCCTAATTTCATTAAGAATTTTGTTCTCCTTCTGTGCTTGTCAATATAAAAACAATGAAGCATCATTCCTGACTGCATTTGCATGGTTCCCACTAAATAATGTCAGGTTTAATTTACAGTATCAGAGACCTTGCCCAAAGCTTTCAAACAACCTTCTAGGATACGCCACAACTGAAGACAATATGACAGGCTAGTTAAGCAGGCAAGTATAAAACAAGAATTATTGTGGTCAACTGCAATTGTGGCAAAACTGCAATTGCTACCTTAGTAACTCACGATGAATGCATACAGAAATTGTGCCAGGAGCCTAAAAAGCAAATAAAATTTGCATCCATAAATCTGGAGAGAACTCCAAATCATACAAAACTGCAAGCAAGTTTCCAAAATGCATTTTTGTACAGGATTCGGTAGCTAAAAGGAGCTTTATAAAACTTCATGACAAAACCTGCTGTAAAGGCTTTATCAGCAAGCGTGCAAATAAAAAGATATCACTTCTCTGGTATCTGTTAATGTCTGGGTCTAGCTTTTGCAAGTCTGTCCAAAACACTGCCAATGTAAGAAGAACAACAAACTGTGTGCCTTCTGAACAAGAAAACTGTATGGCTGAGCAATCTGGCTCAAAAGTTCCACACTCTGAAATCCTGTTCACTGGGCATACCCTTTGAAATATATAAAGAGAACTTCAAAAGAGAGAAACTGACTCTAAAAAATACCTCCAGTATTACTGTTTAGAAAATGTACTGTCAGGATAGGATTAAGGCAATTTACAGGGTTTGATTTATTCAGACTCTAAAAAAAAACAAAAACCCACAAACTCAACCTAAAATAGAAACCAAATTCTAATACAAAAAATACACAAACTGCTGACTTTGATGCAGAGGGTTGACCAATGTACAGGGGGGTTGTACAGGGGGGTTAGAGGAATTTGCTTGCGTTAGAGGAATTTACTTGTGTTAGAGGAATTTACTTGCCTAGACAAGGTATTGTCTGTTGTAAGTGCTTACTAAGCAGAACAAAGACACCAAGTCCTATTGATAAGCAAAAGCAGGCACCTGGTCGTATTGATAAGCAGACACCTGATTATAATGATAAGTAGCTATTGATAAGGAAAAGCAGGCGCCGGATACGGGAAGAAGCAGATGGTTTATGGCTGGGGCACCGACCAAACCCTAAGGCCATATGTGTAAAGACTAAAAGGTGACAAGTTCAAGAAGAGGAAGACTCATTTACTTCATCTTGAAGACCCCTACCCACAGGAGGAAGACTCATTTACTTCATCTTGAGACCCCTGCCCATGACCAGAGGGGGCACTGCGCAGGCGCAGAGGACTTTCTAGGTCATTATAATACGAAGCGGGGATAGAATATGAATATGTATAGGCGTATTGTGCAACCTTGTAACTTTAGAGGATAAATGTAGAGGGAAACAACACTGAGGCACGCATGCCTTTTGGAGGCTCAATCCCCCGTGCGTCTTCAGCTGAATAAAGCATACCTACTTTACAACTTTAAACAAAGTTGTGGAGTCTATTCCGCTATCAATTTCTTTCATTTAGAATATATATTTACTTGAAGATATTTAAAGAAATTTATTAAATTTTCAACAAAGAAAGAATAATTACAAGGTAGCTGCAAATTCAAACTTAATTATTTGAACACTGAAAAAATATTTCTAGTACAATAACTGATCTTAGTGTCTTAACCAAGTTCTGTAGTCTTATATTTCCATTTTTAAGCATTTCTCCCTTGTAACTGTCAAGGAAATGGAAAAAGTTTCCTACTAAAATAGGAAAGAAATTTTTCCTATTTTTGACCTCCAAAGCATAATAATAGTAACCTAAAACTTTTATGCAGAACACACACGTTGGCATCCTCTGGTTCATAGGAGATGGACCTGCCCCATTCTTAATACTTTTGCTCCTGTTGTAAGAATCAACCAGTGATCAAAGAATTATTGAAGAATTCCTAGATCCACACAGCAGGGAACTATTCACAGTTTTCTTCAAAATCTGTTCTTAAGTCAGAAGTAGGAAAGGTCAAGTTTCTGAATACAGCCATGAAGGAAAAATAAGTTTCAGCCAGAGACTTCTGCTCTCAGCTATTGAAACCAAAGATTCCTCCTCTCACCCCAAATTTCCTAGTTTAAAGTAACTGAAAACTGTATCTGCTCAACTGCTGAAAGCAACAAAACAGCTAAGATTTTCAAACCACAAAACTCTGACAGAAAGAACCTCTGCAACTTTCCCATGGGCCACAGCTGAAATGTGCAGATACATTTGGCCTATTTGCTTCCCCACATCCACTCTCAACACTCTGGGGGCTGTACCGAATATCAGTGATTCCACACCACACTGAAAGCAAGGCTCTCTAACCAATTCTACCCAAATATATAAAGACAGAGGAACCTGAGCTACCAGTGGGCTGAGGCAAACTAACTGTTGCAGATTTGATTGTAAACTGTAATTATGTCCCCACATCCATCCGGTTTGTACTTAAGCATGAATCATCGTTTTCGCTGTATTAGGATTTCTGGCGTCTCGATGCTTTGTAAGTAACTGATTCTCACCGCACAAAAACATACCAAAAGCTAGTCAAAACTAACTGTGATTCTAGGGGTCATGCTTTGCAATTCTCACCTCTCTTGCTTCCAGCACTTCGCAAACTCCCTTTTAAATGGAGGGCCATTTTCAAATTACTAGCTGCTACTACATGACAAAAGATTTGTAACAGTGAAAGAGTACACTGACAGTGCAATCAGCCACATCCTCATACAGCCACATTAGGATGAAGACAGGCACTTTTCACTTCTGAACAACTTTTCTTGAATCAAATGAACTCACAGAAGCACCACCTCCAAATTTACAAAGTGGTAGAAGAGAAGCACTTCCCTGCTTACCAAATACCAGTACAAACAGCAGACTTTTGGAACCTGCTGAGCAGCACGTCTGTAAATTGGTATTGGAAGATCAACCCTTGAAACTACCGTGAGGAAGATGCATGCTCCTTTACATACTACCTACACTTCTACTGAGGTTTGCCAATCCAACCGAAAACCTGTTTCTCATTTCCCCCCTCAATACTGGAAGAACACAGAAAGGTTAGTTACTTCTTCCCTTACTTCCCATAAGTATAAAAACCCTGATGTAATCAATTAACTCTTTTTGCAAGCTTTTAAATATTTTGCTACTCAATGGTCGGCTGTTGTACACTGTCAGTCCAGAGAGTTTCTGTAGCATGTGCCTGACTTACATTTCACAATGATGCCAGAGAAAATGTTTATTCAGGAAAGCCAAGGGCAGTCCAGCAAGATAGGCATACTGCTGTTATTAACCAGAATTTTTCTGCCTATGTATCTGTATAACAAGGATGGCTATTTAACTTAGAGAAAACACCAAAAGTAAGTAAGTTTTACAGTGATAACTCTGACCCTATGCCTCTTGCCTAATTTGGATATTTTCACACACTTTCTAAACAGAATTTATATACTGTTGAAAAGCTAAGTGTTGTGTTTGAAAAATCTGTTCCAACATCTTTGTATAGCCTCACTTTCCAAATACCGTAAACGCCTAGAAATTTTCTTGTACAGTGCTGTTCCATACTATGCTTTAACACATACTTCCAAAGCACACCACAAAACATTTAAACATCATACTTACACGTCATACTTAAAAATTTAACTTTACTCAATAAATATTTTTATTTAAAAATACATGTTTTAGAAATCTGGCACACCAAAATCGAACAGTGTGAGGTTATTCCACC